TTCGCCCTCCTCCCCGGCTTGTCCGTTGAAGCTCGGGACGGGGATCTTCTCTGTTGGCTTGTCGCCTGCCGCAAAGTCACTTCCAATCTGCCCACTCGTCCTTCGCAATGCCCTCGCCCACGGGTCCAGTCCGTCGAACCCTTCGGCTCCTCCACGCTGTCCGGGGTCGCTTCCTCCAGGGGCACCAGGGGCTCCGCCTTGTCCGCCTGCGCCACACCATGGCCGTAGGTCTTGTGCGGGTTCGCCTCCTTCAGGGTGTCCCGGGGCCTGCCACTATCGGCCGCTGCTGCGCTCCGCCAGTCCGCGAGGTCCAGGATCACTATGTCCGCCACCTCGGCGCCACCATCCGTCCCGATGGTTTGCTCCCCATGACGAAGAACCTCCGCTGCTCCAGCTGTCCCACCACTCCTCAGAGTGCTGGTTGTCGTCACGTCCCAACAGGTAGCTCCAAATCTCCTCGTCGGACCAGCCCTGCCGTCTCCACTCGGCAGCTTGCGCCATCCACCACGGTGAGCTCGGCGCTTCTTCTCCAGCGGCGCCCTCCAAGGGCTCTCTCTGCAAAGCTTCCCCTTCAGGAAGTGCCGCCTGACCGTCGGCGCCAGCCGTGCCACTGCCCAGCCGCGCCCAGCGCTCCTCATCAGAGCCGGAAGCCATCGCGAAGTCAGGCTCCGCTGCCAATTTCAATGAGCAGACGGCAAGCCTCCTAAAGCAGCGACACAGCGCCTTTTTGCTGGAAAACACTCGTGAGCCTTAATAGCCGCGCGGCTGTCGCGCTTCTCTATGCTGCTTGTTCTTGCAAGCCACGTACATGCCGTGTGCACACAGCGACCCCACCATGTCACAATCATATTGACAGTGGGCAACCACCAACTTCTTGGCCCCAAGCTCAACCGTGTCCACATGCATTGCGATAGTGGGATGAGGTTGGACACGATCCGAACTTGAGTCCAATTATTGAAATCCTGCGAGCCGCACCTTTCCTTTCGCTTTCGCCTCCGGCGAAGCTGTGCAAAGCTACCGCCCTGTGCAATTCCGCTCCGTCGAAGAGGCCACTGGCCTTGGCCTTCTCCGTAACCTCCACTTCGGCCTCAGCCGAAGGGGCGTCTTCCGCTTCGCGCTTCTCCGCGCCTGTTGTCACTTTTCTTGGATTCGCTCCACATCGCGCGGCACCCCCGCCTGCAGTCGCACTGCTTGTTGGAACCTGTGAAACAGGGAGCAAAAGGTCCACAAAGGATGACCAGCAATCACCATGCCAACCAAAACTTCAAACTGATAAATTCTGAGAGGTGCAGCCTCGGATGGCGCATCCGCACCTTGTTGCCAGGATCTGCGAGTCTGCTTGAGAAACCTCCAAGGTTTGGAGCCCAGGGCTGCGGCATTTAAGTGTGTCTCTGATTTCATCATCCTTGGCAACGGCGAAGGCGTCCTTCCTGGAAGGAAGCGTCCCGATACCGCACTAGTGGATTACCGGACATGCATGAGACAAGCATTGGCTGAGCCATGTTGAGCCTGTAGGCGTTTTCCATCTGAGGATCAGCCTTCTTTGCCATAAGAACCTGCAAGCAAAGAGAACCAAAACAACGCTCACCTGAACCGATGTCATTCCCTCAGACGAAGAATCAATGTTCAGGCCTGGCAAACCTTCTTGTGGCCATGAAATGCAGCCACAGCAATAGGCGTCCAGCCCTTGGAGTCTCTGGGATTCGCTCCGCAACCTGATCGCAAACTACATTGAAGGTAAATGGAATTCATTGACTGCTGAGCTCAGAGCCGAAACTCTCGAAAAGCATTGTCACAATCTCCAGGCGGCCTGAACACAGCTCGAGTGAGGATCCATGAAAAAGTGACAAATGAGCAAGAAGCACCGTGTGCGGCCGCAAGATGAAGTATGCTATTTCCACGGTCATCACGGTATGCAGGAATCTGGCGCAACTTTGCACACAGTGTGTCAAATGCTTGGAGCATTTCAGAGGCCCTCTGCCTCTTTGCGCTCGATGTCCAAAAGCTCCAGTTCTAAAGCGTCCTTCTCGCCGTGCCTTTGCTCAGGAGGCTGCCTTGCAGGACTCTTGCAGGCTTCACGCCGCTGTGGCCACGACTCAGTCAGCTCACAGAGCTTTGCGGTCTTTTTGCGGCGTGCCAGCTGCAACCGCTCCTGTCGACAAGCAAATTCTGGAAACTGTTGACAGTATGCGGCAGCAATTTGGTTGATCTTTGCTAGCAGCCTCCTCATTACGAACATTCTTCTCATCTTCCAGATCAACTGCCTTGGCCCTCTCCTGGCCGGACAAATGTAGCCAGAAGTGTTGCACGATCAAGGACCGCCCTGCCTCCTTAAGAGCGTCTGTCTTCGTATTGTCCCAAGCCTCGAGATGGAGTGACACGCACGAGGCCACATGCTGCAAGCCTGACCTCCAGCGCTGCTCGTGTCTCATCGTTGCTAGCCATGTCATAGGGGAGCTCTCCATGTCGGTCCTCTTCTACAAGCGTTAATGGTGCAGCCGCAGCAAGAAAGGCCCCATGAGAAACAGAGGCTGGCCAGCACCGTTGCAAGATTGCGTAGGAAAACAGGCGGGCAAGCAGGGTCTAACACAGAATCCTTTGTGCGAGGATCGCTGCCATGCTCCAGCAGCAGCTGAGCAACCGCCTGAAGAACTTGTTCACATGCCTTGAAGATCCAAGACCGAAGTGATCAGAGCATGAGTAGTGATCTCCGCCTGGTGCCCCTGAAAACACGCACGATGAAGAGCAGTACGGCCATCATTCCCTCCATGGAAGCGAGCTCTCTGACTTCAAGCAGCTCATGCGTACCCCGCCAGCTGCGTTTGGGTCACTCCCAATAGGCGCCTGCGGCTTAAAGTCCCTTCGTGTCAGGCCATTCCAGCAAGCGACATGCAGCAGCCAGGCCTTCCAATCCTCAGACTGTCGTGCAGAAATGTGCTGTGTCCTGCATTTTCTGCAGCTCGGGCCAGTGCCAGCAGGTACTTCACCACTTCAAGATGGCCTGATCAGCTGCATCTAATCGCTTAAATGGGACGACATGGGATGAGTCAACCACCATGCACGTGTTTGAGAGAAATCTAGAGAGCCTCAGACAATTTCAAATCCTGGCTCACGTGAATCGGCGATTAATCTGGAAGACATCTTGCAAATCGGTTCTGCAAAGTGCTTTCGACGAGAGGAGGGCAGCCCAACCAGGTTCCATGGTCACTGGCACAAAGACAGACCCGGCAGCCAAATTGCTGGACGCGAGTTGATCGATTTCGTCGAAGGCATGCAAAAAAATCTACATGATTCTGCCCGGCATACGCTCCTTAAACGGTACATGAGGTAATTGCCACTAGCAGCTGGCTTAGCACAGGTCATTCTGCAGGTGCATGGTGTTGCCTGGAAAGGTTGGGGCTTACAGGCTTACCGGAGCGGGTTCAGGATTCGGTTTTGAAGGCATGTTGCGGAATGCTGGCTGGAGAGATGCTCAGATCAAACCAGCACACTAGGCAGGCAGGTGGCGATCAGCCTTGTACAGCAGCCTCGGAGAGAGCAGTGTTTCCACGGCCATCCTGCAAGATGTCATGGCTGCAGTGGAGAAGATTTGCACATGCAGAGGAACGCCTCTGATGATACAGCTTGCTAGCCGGGAACAAAACTGACATGCTAATGCTGAGACACAATGAGATGAAAATACGCAAGCTATCGCGGCATCTCCTTGGACATCGGGTCTGCTGACTTGTCTAGCAGTGCCTGGACTTCCTGGATGGAACACTATGGGAACACGATGGCTGCCACGGAACCCTGACACAGGCCTCGAGCACGCCATCGAATGCGCACTCAAGCAGCTCTTCATCCATCTTGATCTGAGAAAAATCATTCCCCTACAAAGCTGCGAAAAGAGAATGGGCGAACAACACAAGCACCTGCTCTTTGGACTTCTCCTTCTTTGGCTGCTCACGACCCGCCCAGCGCCCAGCGTTTTCCTGGGCCAAGCTCGCACCCTCCTGAAGGACCTGATCGCTACCCCTTGCCTTCACTTCGTTTTCGGAGACGTTCACCTGAATGCTGACAGCATCCTACCTTTTCTGGCAGATGGAGCCCTGCCTTTAGGACCACCATGCTGTCAGCTAACGAAGAAGGAGGCTCCTGAACATCCAGCTGCTGGGGCCACTGAACATCGCAAGCACTGCCAACTTCTGATTACATCTCAACAGTGCACTGCTAGCACGCGGACGAGAAGGCAGGGAGTCTGCCCGTCTAGCTTATTCACGCACATCATCAAAAATCTTAATCCAGGAAAATCGGGGCATGTGCATACAAATCTGCAGGATCATGCCACTCTCTGTTGCTCCTCCTGCTTCGTCGCTAATACGAAGCGAAAGGCATCTTTAGGATCGAACCTGAATGCGGTCAGCTCCTGCCGCTCTTCAGCTACCTTTTCCACAGCTCTCCTGTCTGAGGGCCAAGCTTCTTGTTCACATCGGCAACTCTCTCAGGTGCATGGCACTTTGTCCTATCCTCCAGTGTGGGCTCTGGCTTCACATGTGCTATGTTACTTTCGTGTGTATGCTAGGCATCTGCGGCCTGAAAAGCACCTTCAGCCAAGGCAGCTTGGTGCTCGTAAGTAACCTGCCAGATTCCTTGACTCCTGCGTGATCTTTCGTTTACGGGGCTTGCTTGCTGAACCTTGGCAGCGAACTCGTCCGTGGGGCGCAAAAGCGGTGCGTAGTTTTCCTGGCTGGACGTCCGGGATGATAGGGTCCGAAGAACACACACAAAGGGCAAGCCACATTGGGCATCAAGCAGCGCTCAATCCGTGCTTAGCCCTGCCTCCAAAAATAACTCATGCGGCGATAGGACCGTGGAAGGAAAGCAGTCCTTGCCACTTAGAAGTGCACAGCAAGCCAGCGGCTCCGATGCAGCAACTGTGCTCACAGGCTGGCAAAATAATGTTCCTTCTTTGATACTCATCGAATACCCTCCCCAAGTCTTCTGCTTAATCTGCAACGGCAACAGTGATCAAACCCCATTAGGCCCTCTGTTTCTGATTCGTTGGGGTTCTCATTAATTCGGGCCAGCGAGAATACTTTGACTGCATTTCAAACTTCGCACAGAAAAATAGCAGCCGCAAATTCGCCCTTCTGAAATTTCTGAAATCCTGTCTCCTTCTCTCCTTGTCAAAGTATGACTGGAGATCACAATCAACTTGGTCAAAGTCGAGGACAAGCCAGGCTCCATTGTGAAGGGCCTCTGACATGTTCTGTTTCAGGCAAAGGTCAACCTGCAAACAAGGTTACTTCTGGACAGCCTGCACCAGCGCTTTCCGAAGGTTGTCTTTGTCAAAGTCACCCTTCTTAAGAATTGATAAATAGCGCCTCGGTCAAAAAGCTCCATCAGGAAAAGCTCCAGGATTACGAATATTTGCGAACACCATGCAATGTTGCTTGAGACGGCCGCCCACGGTACTTCAGGAATTGACATGCTTGGCCCGTGGTGTCAATCAGCAATGGATACTTTCCACTTGTATAGACCTCAGACTCGCGCTGCAGCAGCACACGCACAATGAAGATATAATAAGATAAGGGCGTCACGCAGTCGTTGAGTTCCTGATCCCAACTCTCATGAGGTCACATCAAGCCAAGGCACAAAGGCTTGAGAGAGCTGCTGTGGTGATGTCCCGTAACTTGATGGATCTGGCCTAGAGTTTGACACGGTCAGTGAACAAATCATCGTCAAGGATTTGACTAGGCCCCTCACCATCAGGAGGTATGCCTACCGGCCCTGGTTCGCCCTCCGTGGCGACAGGACAAAAGACATACTCAAATTGTCAAAGAAAGGCATACCTTCCGACCTTCCCCGCTTCTCGGCTGACGTTGCATGGCCCATGGCTCAGAAAACGTCGTTACGGGGTTCGAGATTCATGCAACTGTTTTTGCTAGCTCTTGCCTTGTAACGCGCGTGCAGCCCACTTCCAGCTCATGGACAATTCGCATGTACAATTGCCAACAGGTCGAAGGATCTAGAGTCTAGAGCAGCTCAATTACAATTGTCTTCTGCTTTGATCCATGACTGTTTGTCAGAAAGCTGTGACTATACACGCTCAAGCAAACTGCTGCAATCGTAGGAGGCGCTGGATTTCAGGCATAACATGCTTGCAAGCCCCTGGTTCACCCTTTCTAGAAATGCTGCTGGGTCCTGTTCCCTACTCAAGCGAGGCTGTTCTGGGCACAAAGCGATTTGGCACAACGTGCTGCAGCGACTTTCGCTTGGCCGTTCAGGGCAGCAGGCCTGCAGCAGACGGCCAAGCAAATGCAATAAATTGAATTGTGATGGAGTCGTCTGACCTCGTTTCTGGTAATCACGGCGTGCAGCACGTGCAGGGCCTTGCTTGCTGCCTGCCACTCCGGCATGCGTTCATCCCAAGAAGTAACAATCTTACACCCTTTCCTGCCTGAATTGCCCAGACGGCGTGCATCCTTGTTCGAAAACTTTTTCTTGAGGAGCTTCTTTGCCTCAATACCTGCATGCACAATGTGCACAACTAGAGAGCACTTCCAGCTACAGTTGCTGGATTCCGTGCTTAGCTGCGCCCGAGCGCCGCACGTGCCAGCTGCTGAATGCGAATCTCTCGGTCTGTGCGACGGTTGTCAACACCTCGTGAGCAACAAGTAAGAAAAGGCATGATCATCATGATTATGCTAAAGTTCCTCACTGTGAGGTATAGTAAGCAGTTGCTAGAAACTCGGCGGCATTGGGTCACCCGTGTATGCGAGCTCCTAGCAGAAGGGTTCAAATTCAAAGCATCATGTTTATCTTGGGGTGGCACGACCCGCTTCGATTAAGCTTCTCCGGAAGTCCTTCATGAAAGCAATTTCGAACAAAAACACCTCCAAAGCCCGCAGCTGGTCCTCAGCGTGCTGCTTCGCCCGCATGAAGCCATAGTTGGCTCTAAACCAGCGAAACCGTTGCTTGTCCTGTTCTACAGACAGCACAGCAACGAGTTTCGCCACTGCCGGCCGAAGGTGCATGTGGTAGCACCCACATACTCAAGAGTTGAAAGCAAACCGTGCAATCATTGCATCAGTGAGCCCATGGAATGACGGAGCTCTTCTTCAATGCGCTGCGCCGGGGTTGCGCACAACAGCGCTTCCTGTTCAAAACTAGTTTACAAAAACAGCTTGGGAAGACTTCCACTGATCCTGTTCCCGTGTTCCCGTACCCTTGCTCCGCGGGTTCGCCCCGACTAGTGTAGGATGTTTTTCTTCATCTACCCCGCAGCAGGCAGTCCTTGCGGGTTCCACCAGGGTTTCAACCCGTGGCACAGTTTTTGGGATAATTTGCCGAAGCCAACGTCAGATCGAAATCTCCTATCCCATCATAACCCCATGTCCCGTTCTCCTGTGCAGCCTGCCCCCACCCCCACCTACAGAGGCTTGCTTCGGTCCTTTCAATTCCTGCGGAGAAGACTTTTGCAACGCATGCCTCCTGCAAGCTAGCTGCACCCTTCACACGAATCAGAAGTCAAGGACAGGACACCCCCTCCCGTACTTATCTTCCCAAGGATCGCTTAGGGCACCCCGCATGAAACCCCCCATGCTTTTGCGCACAGGTACAGAATTACTCACCATACTACAGAATAAGTCCTGCATACACCCTATCCTCTTGTAGAGTAGCTGAGAGCGGCTGAGGTCCTGCTCCCACCACTCTACGCACCACACATTCAATCGAGGGAAGAATAAAATGCCTGGCAAAGAAGAATCAACACGAGCGCATTCTGATCAGATCCAGATTTGCCTGGCAAGACGGACATGTCCGGCGGAATGGGGTTGTAGGTGGCGTTGTAGCGGCGCTCCTTCCAGGTGAGCCGCACTTGGTTCGTGAGCGTGAGCAGAAAAAAATCACAAGCCATGTACCTTCCAAAACACCGAGCTAAGCATGTTGTATGGCCAGTCTGGCCCAAGGTACCTGCCGAGAACTTCTGTGCCGGCTGAAGCTTGTCAACAAGTTCTTGGCGGAGCACTCACCAGACCTGACAGAGTCTATGAACTGCTGGTGGCGGTAGCTCTTGGGAATGTACCTGGATCTACGCAAAACATGCTCCGGCCAGCCTGCGCCCAAGTACCTACACATATTGCAGCGCTCCTGGCGAGGCCTTTGGTCTCGCCTGGAATCTTGTGGGTGTGCTCTGGCTCCTCCATCGGATAAGGCAGGCACTTAAAACACTGCCCAACAGATCGCCGCAGCCCATCTCCAACATGGAGCTTAAATGGGCTTCAAATGGTTGACACAACGTCCAGCCAATGCCCTGCACATGCCCTGCAACGCTACTCGAAACTTGAATGCAAGGGCTACAACGAAAGCTCTTGCAGGTGCTCGCATTTCAACTGGCACTGCCCGCAAACTTCTCTTGAGTGGGAAACTTGTAATTCTCACTGCAAAGCAGACCTGGCCTGGATGTGTGGATGGTAGATGGTCCACGGCAGCCCCGGCGCCTGCACACAGCAAGGATGTGAAAACGGGCACTCCATGTTGCGAGCATCACCCTATGATAACAGGGCGGTGCCCGGTGGATGCTCCGTCGAGTCAGCTGCAGAGCTTGCACCGGCTGGTTGGCAACTGCGCAGGCTGTGCAGACTGCAACATGTTGGGGCAGTCGGCTTGTGGCTTTGCTGCGCACACACGTGCGGAACGACTGAATGTGCATCTGTACCAGAAGCATCCCAACACGGTCTGCAAAGAACCATCAAGGCGATCATGGCAAAAGCTTGGATATGTGCTCTCACGTCAGCTGAGCCTCGTAGAGCACTTCTCCATAGGTCGGAAATCATGGCGATGGTGGCTGCTAGAGATCCATGACAGCAAGTGAGAATCATCGTGTCTTTGTATCCATGACTCAACCACTCTGAAAGCTTCTGCCATGCTCTGCACCGTTCTGAAGAGTTTTCTGAAGTTTTTGAAATGACACATACGTCAACTGTTTGCAGTGATCACTGAAGGTTTGTTTTCAATGACGCTTTTGAGCCCAGCTACAGCTAAAATCAGCTACAGCGGGGATGAAGTGGAAGTGCAAGGCCAAGCAGAAAAGGCGCGCAGGCACTGACTCTTCAGCTGGCCCGTAGGCTTGCCTGGACGGAACGTGCACTCGCAGTCGAGCACAAGGACGATGGGAAGGCAGCTCGTTCTTTAACTGAAATGATCGCCGGGGTCCATCATTGGCACCACCGTGGTGAGCTTGCGCCATTTGCAGTCAAGTAGTTTCTGTGATTGAGTGAAGCTGCATCGAAATATCACGGCGGTGACGCAAAGCGCGCAATGCTCCACGAGTAGCTGGGTAAAGACTTCAGGGTGAATCGCGGGACATCGCCGGACAGTATGGCTGGATGAGCGAAACTGCACCATCTTACGCGAAGGGGTTTCACATCCAGGCCTTGCTGCAGATCCGTGGGAGCTATGCTTGCACCGCGCGATCGCTTCACAGGTCATCAACGAACTCCTCTGCAGATTGGGCTGTGAATCTCAAGGCCACGCTCCCCTTCTCAAATCAATCACTTAGCTACTTGTGAACTATAGCACTACTAAAGTCAACCACCCACTGCCTTCGCAGAGCCCAATCAGCTCACATGACAAGCATGCGAGCAATCCTTCATGGTTTCCGGGCACTGCCTATCGGTGAAGTATCTGCAGAACCTGGCCATGCATTGATCAAGTACTCAGCCACTTCGTTCTATCTTTGGAGGCGGCCCTGGTTGGAAATGCTTAGCTTTGCATGGATTGAGAAGGAAAATCCATGCAGCGAGGCAGGAACCTCTCTCTCTCGAGTTTTGTTTCAGCTCTTGCAAAATCCTGCTGATGACAGCGGGGACGGCAAGGCTTGCTTGTGACAAAGTGCGACATACGGCGGAATCTGCCAAGACACTCGTCGAAAAGCACGATCCCACCGCCATTCACGTCCACCTTCTTGAACTCAGCCTCACAATAAGCATGGGGATTAGGGGCCTGGAAGATGTTGAAAGGACCCCAGCTGCCTCGCACTTGGCTTGCGACATCTTGATACCACAGACAGACATGCACCATTGGAACTCCTGCACCAACGAAAACACACAGAAAGACTGCTCACAGGACTTTGGCTGGGAGTCCATCCTTCAGAGTCATCCGCCGGTCGTGGTCCTCGTCTACCTGTCATCAGCCAACAATTGGCTATTTGGTTTGACTCTGCCGAAGAAATCCCTTGGAGTGTCAACAGCCTGGTCGAAAAGCCAGTAGAGCTTGTTGAAATAGAAAAGATTTCCTTGAAAAAGGGACCCGCGTGAACTGGTGTCAAAACATGCCAAGACGAGGGATCCAGGAGCAAGGCCAAGAAGCATCTTGAACTCGCTCTTCTGCACCCACTCGTCACCGTTTCCTGGTCAACATTTGCATGGATGGATGCATCTGACCACATGCTGCTCGATGATCCACTCCTCTTTCGAGAGTAGCCTTGAAGGCTCGCATTAGCGCTGGCTGGTGGTTGAGCAGCGGGTACTGCTCATTCACCATTTTGCCAACCTGAGAAGGAAACACATCCAAGTTTGGGAAAGCAGCAGCTTCCCGCCTCTGCAAGAGAGACAATATTGTTACCATTGAAATCCAGCCGCTTCCACATCCTCAGCGACACACGCTTACCGTACACATAAACCGCCGAATCCTCTATGCTGCTGAGATTCTTTTTCAATTGTGCCTGGTCGTTTGCTTTTAATATGTCCTGGCAGGACACCCTTGACTGCAAATGGAGGCTACTGAAGCCGCTTGTGCCAAGGTGTGATGCATTTCTGGCCTTCAACTGCTTCTCGAGCTTGTCAAAGTCCGCAAGGCTCTTTTTGTTTACGAAGTGACCGTGCGTCGCCTGATGATTGGGTCTTAATCATTGGCTGATTGAAGCATGCTCGTGCCTTGTCGCCATGCTTCTTTCGCAGAGTCTCGTTGGACTTGTCTTTGGACACCTGCGGGTTGTAAAGTGGCTCACAAGGTCATGAGTCATGAAGTTCTGATACCATGCGCCAACTTGCTGAGCTGCAATATCTGCATCAAAGGCCGGATCACTGTCCGGATGTATTCGACTCAGCTTCGACATGCTTCGAGAACAGAAAAGTCATCTTCAGGCCCTGCCAGCAACCAGATCTGCCGCCAGGTTGCTGTCTAATGTACGCACAGAACTCAGTGAAAAGGATCATCCCACCGTGGTCCATGTCAATGGTACTTCGAGGCAAGCGAGGCTGTTCAAGCTGTTGAAGTGACAGTTTCTGCGTCTGGCTTGACCTGTCCTGTACTCCTTCCTCGCCTCTTCGGGAGAAAGGTGAATATCGAGCCTTGGCCAAAGGTATGTGACAGGGCAACGACCCCACTTCACCGGGGCTCTAGGCTTCTTGCTGAGCCATTCCAGCAGTGAACTCTTCCAAGTTTATTCTGCCATCATGACTCCTCACTGGCAGCTCGCCATCTCTGCAGAAAAATTTGCAATGCTGGGCAATGATGGGTTCAGGCTTCATAGCTAGCAGCAGTAAAGCAACAAACAAACTCTGGACGATATAAAGCTGAGCATCGTATCAATCTCATCGAATAGTCGATGGATGTGACCAAACCTCCGCTTCCGCAAGGCAAAGAGTGCTCTCGTAGCAGGACTTGCAAACGAGGAACCAGAACAGGTTCAGGAGCAGCGAGTGGAATTCTTCCTGCAAGGCTAACACCGAATCCCCAACTACAACAACTACAAACCAGCCTTCTCCACCCAATCGTCCCCATCACCATCCAGCCTTGGACTGCATCCTCCATAACCTTCCTAAACCCCTCTGGGAGGCAGCTGATTGCGTACAAGCTTCTTGATGGTCTTCTCGTAAGCTCTGCGAATCGCATCCTTGTTGTTCACCCAGTCGGGCCAAATACTGGCCTAGTAAATACCGATCACTTTGCCACCAGCAACACATTCCGCCACCAACCAAAGCCTTAACCATGTCCACGACAAGGTTGTCAATCTCTGCCAGGCTGACAACGTTGTTGCCGTTCTGACCAACATCCGAACTATGCACTCTCGTGTTTGGGTTGACTGCAGCCTGCTGGTCCCAGTTTGGGGCTAGTTCTTGGGTCAACCCTTCTCTAGGACTAAATGACGACGATCTGCTTGGCAGAGGTGAGCCGAATTCTCCAGCTGAGGCTGGGACCGCGTCAAGCTTTTTCCACAACTGCTTCAAGCCTTTAGGCACTGCAACATTTTGCAAGTTTTGCTAGCGAAGACGGCAAGTGCATGCGAGCAGCTATTGGAGTCCATCAGGCCATAGTGCTTCAAATCCTCCTCTACCTTCCAAATCCGGACTCTTCATGTGCACAAAAGCTTCCGTGAAACAGGGCAGTGTTCCAATGCCATGTAGTCACGTGTGTACTTCAGAAGGCAGGGTGGGCAGATAGGACGGTCGCAGGGCAGATCGGCTCGTCCGTCTCAAAACCCTTTTTACAAGCTTAATCGAGTTCAAGCATGGCACACGGCTATGACAAACCACGAAACGCGCATGAAGGAAAGTGCGACTTGATGTGAAAGACCGCGCAACAATGGCTAGCTTCGGAATTTGGGGGCACGGACCAGTAGGGAGAGCAAGAACAAGTGTTGCCGCTTACGAACAACCAACCCTCTTGCGGCTGTTTGCCGGCTTTGGTGGGGTTTACGGCAATTCACAGTCTGGTAGGCACAGGAATTGCTTCACAGCTGGATTCAACTGGAATCAGTTGTATGATCATGTCAAAGCACTCCCAAAGTCAAACGGATTGGAGGTTTGGGTACTGCGACTGGAGAGCTTTGCATCTCTATCGAAAACTCAGTCAATGTTTCCTGCACCCAAGAGTCGTTTCACAAACTGGCTTTGCAGTGCATACAGCTAACAGGCCTCGTTCCTGAGCAGGACGAACTTGTCCTGAGACGCCTTGACAATTTACGCAGCATGCCCTATTTACCCTTGTTCACACGCAGTGTCCATTGATGCCTTTGCAGGAACGCACTTGATATTTTTGTCCTCTCTCCACTGCCCATCTTCACCTGGGATGACTGTGACATGGCTGGTTCTTCCCACATGATGCTGCTATCGGATCGGAAGTTGCCCGCTGTAAGGACTGAACCACAGCATACCCAAGGACCGGGACATTGCGTTGGATCGGCACAGTTACTGTCGGACACAAAGGCGTAACAACGGGCACCATCCTTGGCGAATCAGGGCATGGAAGCAGTTGCTGTCCTGGAGTCTCAGCACATACAATCAGCAAAACATAGCAAAACCATGCCAAGTTTTTCTCCGCAATGGCACAATCCTGCAGAGGCCCGGCAGCTTTGCTGACAGGAGCCCAGCAAAAAGCCTTTCCGGGTTGCTTCCGCTTCAATTCTCTCTGTCCTCTTGCTCCTTCTCCAGCTCCTGATCAACGGAGCTTGCATCCACACAGGAAAAGCCAAGCTGTGTTGCACAAGCCGGCATGCGTTCCTTCTCAATGTTCTGGGCAGAGTGAGAACGTGCCTGATGATCAGGTTCATGCTGATTCATGCTTGCAGGAAGACCGGCGAAACCCGCCTTCTGCAGTTCCTTGGTGCCTTTTTGAAGATCCTTGGCAGCCTTCTCAGCAACATTGTGGCCAACACCAAATGTTGGTTTGCAAGTCTTCTTTTCTGGAGAGCCCTTCTTGTCACAGGCTTCGACAGCTTGTCAAAGCTTTTCATTTGAATCAGGCATCAGAATGCACCCGGCCTTGTGTGATGCTTTGCCCAAATCTTCCGTTGCCTGCTGCAGCTCTTTCTCTGTTTCCCTGCCCGGCAGTTTAGCAGTACAAAAGCGTGTGGAACACTCTTGGCAGTAGGGAGAGGAGCAGTATTTGGTAGCAGCACCTCCACTCCTGCGCATCCTTCATTGTCTCATCGCCGGCTGCATCCCTTGGCTCAAGGTCTGGTTGCGGCCGGCTACCAAAGGCTTCAAGGAGCACCATCTTTTGTTGCTCTGCCGTTGACAAGAGGCGTCTCTTGGATGGACGTTTCCACTGGACCGTTTGATGCAAGCTCGGCCTTCAGCTTCCGATACATCCTGAGACATAATATAGCAGCACAGGCCACCACAAACTCACATGCAGCCTCGCACAAAAAAGCCAATGTAGAGCATGGCAAGGTACGTGGCCGGAACTTGAGGTAATTGCAAGATGGGCATCCCAATGTCACCATCAAATTTTTCCTGTGCTGCTCTGATCGTACGACACAACTACTGTGACAAACAAGTCTTGATCTTGTGCAGCACTAGCTTTTGGGCAAGCGACTTCTGGATCTGGAATATCATGACCGAGATTTCTTGCCTGGCTTCGGGAGTGGCCGCGGGACACTGTAAGCCATAAGTTTCCAACGTGCAGCCAAGCGACAGCACTGCCTGGACTGTGGGGCTGGAGAATGCTACAACAGCTAAGTACAGCAGTGACCCATGTAGACCGATGGAAGCAAACATGATAAGACAACAAATCTGGTATGCAAAGGCTCCCGTGGCGTTCACCAATGGCATCACAACATGCTGTCATCGGGGAGCGGAGCTGGCTTGGCAACTGCAAATGTTGAAGATTTAGTTCCAGGACTTGAAAACCAAGCCAAGCCACCAATGCCACCCTTTTCATATTTTTCATGCTCCAGGAAGCTTGGTGCTGATGGCGCCCTGCGTGTCCGCTCGCCTGCAATCCATCATGCGAACAGCTTCGATGAAGTTGTGTTGCCTGTCTAGAGCGCTCCGGCCGCTACAACATTGGTCATGCAATCTGTTGTTCCGCACTTGAGGAACTTGGACAACCGTCTTTGATACAGTTACAAATGCGAAGCCACTGTGGCCAAGAGGCCTACGGCATCTTGATCCAACCACCCTTTCGCAGAACGACCCGACTAAATATTGAATCTTTTGCGCGAACCGTGTGTTAACATCTGAAATGTTATCAGACTGCAACATAAGATCATGATCACCATGCTGAACGGGTATGCCTGGGGTGTGCAGGATCCCTGCCAGAGTCTTGGCCTGACTGTCGGTTAAAAGCCTTGATTGCAGTCACAACCACGGCCCAGGGTGCCAAGCACAAAACACTTGGGCTTTTAAGCAAGTCTCACATCATGCAGCTCGATCGCACGTTCCTGAGCAATTTGAGTGCGACTCCCACAGCATGCAGCGAAGGCAAGAAGCTTCGGTGCGCCGAGAGACGCAAAGCACCAGGGGGAGTAGAGGGCAAAGTAGAGGCCATGATGTGGCCATGCACGGGGCCCGGCCTGCACTGATGAATCTGGAGACTCCGTGGCAACTTGAGTCGTGGGTATGGCCTAACGGGCGGCGGACAGGAACGTAATTGTGCTTGCCAAAAAACAGCCAAATTTTGCACTTGCCGTGGCTTCAGCCGCATGGCTGCACTTGCAAAATCTTGCAACGCCGCAACTACTCATGGAGGCACACCACAGCACATGCAGTATGATGGCCAAGCAAAAGCATTGCGAGAGCTGCAAATGCTGCAGTCCTTGCTACCCTTCCAGTCGTGGAGCTCGGGGCAAAATAGTTGAAATAGCTCTGAGGCAGAAACATTTACCTTCTTGCTGATGACCCATCGCGACTTGCCAGTGTGAAACAAATAGACCTTGCACCAACATCTCCTTTCTGGCGTTCAGCAGTCAACGTTGGTCAACAGCAAAGCACTGGACTGGCGTCGCTGACCGCGCTCTCCAGCATGGTTTGTTTTGGTGCAGCATCTGCAAGGGCCTTCAGCAGTCATCACAGCACATTGACATCCGACTGGACATTTGCAATTCAAAGAAGTTGGCTCAAACGTATCGTTGATGAGTTTGTACCTGCTCACCAGCAAATCAATAGGCATGACTGCATCACAGCACAGCAACGCACAGCAACGCACAGCAACGCACAGCCGGGGATGACAGGGCACTTGCCCGTGCAGCCAGAGATGGTTATGGCCGGCCGGATGCTTTGGTCCGGGGGCCCGGCTGGTGCCTGGCAAAGTGCGCAAAAGCAAAACGATTTTTCTTTGCCACACACCTTTGGCCTGAGGAGCTGCTGGCGGCGCAGGGCCTCAATAAACAGCCAAATCCAGGGTTAGGATGTTGACGTGGAGGACATGCCTGCTGCCAGACTTCTGGGTGTCATCTCCTGGGCTGAGCAGCTCTGCTACGCAGTGCACGGGAAGCATGTGGCGTTCACAAGGCATGGGAAGCATGCTGGCCTCAGGGCTAGCCCGGGGTGTGGCAGGGCGGTCCGGCGGATTGGAGCGCATCCTCCGTTTCGAGCCTCTTCTTAATCTCGCTTCACTTGATCGTCTTCCGCAGCTTGATCAAGTTTCTGGGACACAAACTGGTGCTTGCGGTTGCTCCACGGCCAAGAGCCTCCGCATGGCAGGGGTTAAATAAAGCCATCATTGACTTAGGAAAGCTTTCAGTTGAGGGAGCAGCCATGGATCCCGGGGGGCTTTTTGTGCTTGGGGAGGATGGTCCTGCAACTGCTGCAGCAAGCTGCTGCTGTCAGGACAATCTAACTGCTGCAACGTAGTTCGTTCCGCCTGATCGATTTCCTGCATTGGCTCTGAAAGGGAATCACTTTCACATTGCGACAAAATAGCACTGCCTGCCAGGCCGACATATCCACCCCCTTTGGGGCTGGACATCTTGCCGCCTGTCTGGGGCAGAATCCGGCCAAGAACAGGTATGCCAACGGCAGCTCCAAGCAAAAAAGTGAAACCCTTGGCAAACAAAGCCTCAGCGGCAAGCTTGCCAGGCAACACAACTGAGACTGTCAGGGCCAAAGGGTCTGCACTACAGAGCCATTGAACATACGATGACGCATTCAAGCTTGCAACTGCTAGCCTGCAGACAGAGCCACTTATTTTTCTGCACGACGGACGTTAAGGTCAAGCAATTGTCAATAAGTCAAAATGTTGCGCGGACACAATGTCGCACGCGCGAGCCGCCTTCCTGTGAGGTGATCATCTGAAACACTTGCCGTGCGATCGGTCCAACCAAAATCCACTTCACTTTCTGGATGCGGATGTTGCACATTTCTACGCTAAGCTGTTGGATGCGCTGTGGCAAAAGCTCAGGAATGTTTGCATGCCTGTTGTTCAGGCGCTGTTTGTCGGGAAGGTCCTGGCTGTTGCTGAAACAGGTGATGAGCTGACATGATTGATACGTCCATCAAGCAAGCGGCTATCTGTTGCCCTATGCTAGCAAGCCATCCTGACGGCAGAACGAAGCGCTTCTTTCAAGTCACCGCGATGTACACGCAGCAACTGAGTCACAAATCATGTTAGGATCTACACTTTGGCTTTGCCGAGGCCTGAATCTGGCCGTGAACTCATCACTTAGGCTCTTGCACGTTCTAAAACGTCCCGCTCACAAAGTGGTAACTCGGAGCCTCTAGAAGCACCAGCGTGCAAACCTTCATGATCTGAGCTGCAGGGGCTGCACACATCAGATCCAAATCTTCTTTTTTGATCCTGGCTGCGTTGCACTGCACAAACTCACAAATCCACACGGTCGCACCTTTCTTGAGCCAACTGTTTCTCCCTTTCGGCTCGTTTTCTGTCTGCTTCCTCCTGGTAATTCAAATGATGTGGCCATGTATGCGTCCGTGCCACATGTAAGGACATTGACATAGCATACATACATGACAAGTCCTTTCGTTTGTTAAATTCGTCCAGCTTTGCCTGCACCTCCAAGACAAGAATTCTGCCTCCAGCATGCCAAACACACAGAGGAGTGCGACCTCTTTGGCATCAACCTTCGAGGACGTGGTCTTGTCCTTGAACTCAAACACAAGGACTGAACATGCAAGCGGAATGACACTCGTTCCTCATCAATGGCATCAGTCAAGCTGTCCAAATGCTTGGCCTGTGGCAATGTACGGAACAACCATCACAATCAAGCAAATGTCCTACGGCATGGCCTCTTTGGCGGATTCGCCCGTTTTCTTGGGCATGTCCTTGCGAACAAAAACGGGGCATCTACGAAAAAAATGTTGAATACACGCACATGCTAACATACCAAAAAACAGATTGGTGCGGCGCCTCATCTTCATCATCTTCCACTTCATCATCATCTTCCTGCTGCGCACATAGGAAATGAAGACAAAAAAGAAACGTTTGAAGGAAGAACATGGCCTTGGTTTTTGCGCCCATGCCGCAGGAAAGGCACAAACGGACTGATGTAAAATTTGAGTTTCATGTATGCCTGTTTGATCTCATTTGTTCGTGGATGGCCTGCGTTTTGGAACAACTTCCTGGAAGATGACAGCCCAAAAACAAGCAATCAACTTCCCGCAGCAACCATGCTTGCTATGTTCGCCAGTTTGCTCACGAACTTTTTGAATGCTCACAAATCGGCCTGTGCCAATGCATTTTTTAGTCAAGACAAACATGAAATTGCCAAACACGCAGACCAAATACGTCCAAAGACATGCAAAATCCCGATCACATGAAGGGTTGCAATGTTGTCTGTGTTTGTCATTTTTTTTTCAATAGTTTGGCCGCTTCAACATTAACGTGGGTTAAACACGTTGACCGAAGATGTTATGGGCCAATCATTGCTATCATCCCATGAAAGCGATATTTTTTGTACAATCGCAAAAAAGCAACAAGCACACAAAATAAACGTAGGACTCATAGCTCATAACAAACAAACACGGAAAACATCCCAAAAAATGCAACCCCAATTTCACACCCAGAAGCATGCAGGACCTAACCCGTGAGCTCCCTGAACCCCAACCTAAAACCTCCACACCTTGAAACCTGATGAGATGATGCAACGGTGAACCTTAGTGTTTGTTGAAGTTGTTCATTCATTCGTTCTTTTCCACAAAATCGCATTGCTACGAACGTGTACTCCAAATCTATGGCATATATCATATACGTTGATGTCGGGGCCCTAATTTGTGTGCAATAAACGTTTTGGTGTCTACCATTTCTGCGTAGAGGGTTTCAAGAAAAAGTTGGGTGGCTGCAAGGCTGTGGTGCGCAAACACCGCGGGTTTGCGACCGAGAAAATATCGATATGACAAACCCCACATTCGCTTGACATTGTTCATGGCGGGCGTTTGTCCTGAGCAGCAGCCGACATGGCAGCATCGTTGTCATGTGGATGTGCGGTGTTTGTTAAATGACGCCGAAACATGTTCCATGGGCGCCGAGGCCTGCCCCAATGACCAGCATCTGCCTTTGGCTGCGTCCCAGCAGCGGCCGATGCCAAGTTCGACATTCCACACGCGGGGAAGGTACGCATCCCCCAGTTGAAAGTCAGTTGGGTGCAACGCTATGGCTGCAACGCCGGGCAGCAATAATCATGCGGGTTCAACCAACTTCCGCAATCCGCAAACTTTGCAGCCCATCAGGGATTTTACAAGGAAGCAATCTTTTGTGAAGATCATTCATAATTTTCTTGTAATCTCCAATCGATACTTCCAAATATGGACCGGACAAGTGCGAACACAATTTGTTTGCGCTCATGGTTTCCGGCTAGCGCAAGAAAATCAGTGGGCTCCTGAACCCCTTGCTAATTGGACCTCTACTACTATTATCTTTGCTTGAAGTAGGGATGAACATGGCACGAGCGCGGACAGTCTTTTTACTTGAAGGCACCAAGCACACAAAGGTGGTCACTTAACTTGTCTTGTGAATTTTGAAGTTGTACAATAGCACTAGACTCACTGTACACAATGCGTTGTACTGTTCTTATGTAGAGATGGAGGCTTTACGCACTATCTACTCTTGCACTTACAGATGGCTGCGGGGAGCACACAAGCTTGCACAGTGCTTCTTTGAAAGGTCGACTGGTTGGACAAACCGATCCCAGCAACCCAAAACTCAATCGCTCTTTTGACTTCCAATGTTGTTACTCGTAGCTCAGCTCAGCAATTGCGGAATATCCAAACGTACTGGCAAGGTGGAATACCTCCCTACATCAATCAGCCTCTAAGGGAACCTTGAGCCAAATTACATGGAACATTCCGCATAAGAGTATCTACCTGCAACCTAAACGACAGTGGGAAGGGATGCATTCGTACAATTACACACACCCCACGTCGAATTTGTGACTTGTCATGTGAGACGAACGCAGGAGCTCCCTTCGTTTTGCACGTTCAAAAGCAATCCGAGCAGATTAGAGTTACATAACTTGAAATATATGGCCCGAGTCAGACTCAGAAGCCATCCTTCACATTGTGAAACTTGAGACAGCACACTCAGACGGCATATGGAAATCCATATTGCAAAATGTAAGCATGAGGTACCGGGAATATCCCAGAATACCGTCTCCCGTAGCGCGCCAAAATGGCGATCGGGCAGTGTGCTTTGTTTTAGTCCATCGCATCGAGGTCGCCAGAGAAACTCGCTGTGTAGGAATGCCCTGCTCCCACTTGATCGCCAATTTGGAGCAAACCTTGGCGGAACGTGGTGGTCCGAGCTGTGGCTTTCCATTTCTCCAAGTCCCCCTGCATCCTTTTGTCTGTGATGGATCCATTGATAGTCTTGATGACGACCCTGTCATATCGCTTTTGGTACTCGGATCCCAGCTGCAGACCCGTTTGTACTGCGAGGTACATCAACTCGGGGCCCATTCTGTCACGTCGCTGCTGGCCTTCGTAGAGTCCTTCAAGGCAGACATGGTAGACGCCATCAATAACCCGCTCCGTTGGCATTTCACGGTAGCTCAAATAGCGGTATTTCTTGATGCCAAGTGCATTCGAGAGCAAGGCTCTCACTCTCGCGCTGATGAGGTTCCTCTGTCCGGCACCTTGGTTAGGTCGTATTTTGCGGTAGCCATCCTCATTGACCGCGATGAAGGGCATGAGGAACTCATTGATGTTCATCGTGGTGTACGCCCAAAGGAATATGTTCCACATCATCTCGTGCACTTTGATTACCTCGTAACAGATGTCCAGATTGTCGCACGGAAGGAGGGACGAATCTGACGGTGTGAACTTCTTCTTGAGCATCTCCTCATTCCTGACTTCCTGGTACTGCTGTCTTCCTCCCTCGCTAGCCCAATAGAGATATTCTTCTTTTGTGGGTGCACGGGGCAACTTTGTGTCTGGATCAAGACACGCTGGACAAAAGAATTGCCTCTTCGCGAACGGAGTGTAATACTCGTCGACCTTTGCCTTTATCTCTGTAAAACTCAGCGAGAGGTAATCATCGAGGATTTCGCGGCGCTGGAAGATGATGTAGCCTAACATTTCGTCAAATGTTCTTCCGATCTCCTCTGTGTTGATACAGATCGCCGCGGGTTCTTTTGCAGCGTCATTCGAAATTGTCAGGTGCTCCTCAGCGAAGTCTTCCTTCTCTCCGTACTCGTCAATGGCCACTTCAGTATCCAAGAGGGTGTCATCGACAATGATTGCCTCCATTTCCGCGTCGGCCTGTGTCTGCTCGTCTTGCGCTGCTTGCGCACCATCTTCTGGTTCTTCAAATTCAGGCTCCATGGCGACATCGATATCGGCAGTGTTTTCTTCATCTTATTGGTCTCACGCGGGGGTCCGCACGCAAGGCCTATTGTGAGCGTGTCGCACTATTACTTGGCACTCAACTCTAGTTCAGCACACGCAACAACTTGCTGCTAACACTGCGCACAACCCTCCTTCGTTTTCTCAGGCGCATTCGACGAGGGCTCCTTGGCCAAAAGGGTCAAGTTGAAGCAGGCA